GCAACGCATATTCCCTTTGGAGATAACGTCTTCAGATGCCCCTCTCCCTCATCCAGATAACTGAGACTGATAATCTGGAATAAAGGATGATAATCTGGAATAAAGGAACAGTTAGACATCAGACTTCGGATTTGAATGCAGAAGATGAAGATTTTCATCTATTTCCGGAAAAAATTCCATTACAAAGTGATTGTCAAGTAACGAAGCCTGAAAGACTAGATTTATAATTAATATTTAATTATTATGTGTAAGTACTGTTTATTTGTATGAATATTTGGTTTAACTATACTTGATTTTAATACTTGTAGTTTTGTCTTGATAATTATTTATCAAGACAAAAGGAAAGAGTATGTTATAAAGTGACATGCTGTTGTCCGTGTTAAAAGTGAACAATAAATTTTGTCATTATTGTTACTTCGCATCTGGTAACAGTATAAAACTGAAATTTATATGTCTACACTTGTATATGCCGTTAAGAATAGTGAATAAGTTTTAAATCAAACTACGTTCTATATAAAATAGCAAATGAGTACGTGTTTTCAAGAAGACATAAGTTTTTCTTCCTCCATAAGCAATTATTATCTGCAATTAAATTGCTGTTTAAAGCTGCTAAAAGTCTTCATAATTTCCTGCGTATTTTGTCTCAAAAGTAATAATAACACCTTAGTGGACTGTAATTTCTTTTATCAATCCTATAACATCTCAATCTTATAATTCTAAAATTAATAACTCATTGCTCTCAACAAGCCGTTTCACCTTCACTCTCGAACGCCGTCAACGGCGGCTCTAATCCACATCGCAAGTCACGTAGCTACACTGCAGACACAAACACCGTCAATATTAGCAATGGAAATTCAAGAAGCTTTAAGTTACGGAACGTTAGTTTTCATTATGCACTGATACGCAACGATTTTAAATCTTTGAAGAATTATTTATTTTATGCGTTCAAAAAAAAATATTTAATTCTTACCTCCACATTATCCAATGATGAATCCAGCTCTTCCATACTTTTTAAACCTTCATCAATATCTAGCTTTTCGTCAACGCTTCAATAGTTGTTGTAGGAATTTGTCATGCTATCCTTTATTTTTTTAACTTTTTTTAATTTAATTTCGGAATTAAATTAATTAAACTTCCTTCGGATTCTTTGAAGTTAATCGCCAACGTATCCAATTTAGCAGCTGTACCTTTGATTGCGCCTCTTTGGCCATTTAGTTACGTTAACTTATTCATTATATTTGTTTTCCTACTTTAAGTGGCAGCAGCTTTGTTGATCTTTTCTTCGATAGACCACTTATGAATTTTACCTTTCGCCGATTCTTTTAATGGACTGAAATTTTCTTTAAACTAGATAAAGAATGCAAAAACATAAGTATCTTCACATTTTTTTATGTTCAAAATCTCTGGAATGAAGAATATGTAATTTTTAATTCTTGCCTTACCTAGGACTCGATCTCGATCTTGCTCTTGCCACTTCTCATCCATATAATCTTCCTACTGCCTACAAAGCTCCGCTGGAGGACCATGCATACGTAGGTGCCACTAATGACGTAAGAGATGGGATTCCTTTCATGCAAAGACGAAAGTTTGTTCCGAGAAACTAAGAATAAAGACAATGCTTGTAGCATTCTTTGACAGCCAAGGCATGATTCATAAAGAATTTCTCCCAGAAAGGGAATGGAAAGAAAGAGCAATAACTAATGCTAAAATGTGCAAGGTTATTCTGGCAAATATATTGCAAAGAATCTATATAACGTCCAGAATACGCCGAAGCTGGCTCTTGGTTTTTTAACCGTGATAAGGCACATCAGGCCCTCTTCGTGAAAGGGTTAATGAACTGAAGTGGAGCTGTAGCTCTCAAACATCCACCATGCTCACCTGATCTTGATCCTGCAGACTTATTTCTTTTCCTGCACCTGACATAAACTTAAAAGAAGAACGAGAACATCCCAGAAATTCAAAGACATGTGGCATGTGACGAGGATTCTCAAGGCGATATCGAAAAAAGGAGTGTGTCCACAATTTTCAGGAATTGTATAGTTGTTGTCTAAACTGTATTTCAAATGACGGACATTATTCTGAAGGAATATAAAAAGTGTCCCCTGATTTTAATAAGAATCTTTTAGTTACTCTTCACCAAATTTTATAATCATGCTTCGTATGATCCATTTCCGTTGGTTATCAGATATATGATGTGATAGCAAAATTTTAACCACAGACTAAAATTGTAAATTTAAATATACAAGAACTCCCTTTCAGTTATTTTTCTCAATAATACTTATTTCACAGGACACTTTAAAAAAGTGTGACTTACAAATTATGGTAGTAGAATATGCAGTTAATGCATGCAGAAATATGCAGAAATGCAGTTAATGTGTGATCAGGCTAAATATATAAAATAATTCAGAGAAGGCATATCTCATTTCATTGCTAATTGGTTATGCAGAGTTTTTCTGAAATTAAAAAAATTTTTGATAATTTGTAGTATTACATTCCAAATTTAATCTCTAATTCAAATTCATAACTTTTTCAGGGCAAAATTTTGTACGAAATCTAAAAATGAAAATGCAACTAGCATAAAATATCATTTTACTTTCCTCGTCCCGTAACTTTACAAAAAATATTAATTCAATTCTATATTTTAAAGTTGAAATTATTTTCATGAACCTTTACAAATGAAAGCGCTCAAGAAGATGCCAGCTGAAATGCGAAAACTTGCTAGCAACAGAAACGGATGATGACGCTAGAAGAAAGACTGTTACTGTTGTTTCCAGTCCTCCTGAGCTGAATCTCCAGTCAGATCGGATCCATGAATATTGTCATAGCAGAGAGGTTTAGGCCTTTGGCACTTTATAGTGACAGCTGCCCAGCTCTGTTCCAGGTTTTGAAGCCGAATTACCCGGAGATCTCACATTCTTCTCCTACCATTGATTTTTCCAGAAAACGTTCGGCTCGATAGTAATTTAAGTGCCTCCATACCACAAAAACGTTATGTATTTACAAACATCAGTGCTTTTTCCTGGGTATGAACCAGGCCCAAGGCTATGGTAGCCGGTTTCCCTACGATGTGGGGCGTAGAATAACAGAAGGAGATATTATTACTGTGTTTTGAGATATTATTACTTATTTATAAAGAAGAAAGAGAGTAACTTTCAATTTGGAAACTTTCGATTACGATTAAGTTCTTCGAAATAAATTTTACCATTAAAAAGTTAACATATACAGAAGAAGAAAAAACTTTTAAAGGGTAAAACTTATGTTCATATTTCACTTTTATTGTCAAATAACAATATTCTTACTCACTACTAAAATTTAATATTTATTGTTAATCACAATTAGAAGGTCAACTCAAAAACATGTTCAGTTTTTAAAGCCAGAGTTTTGAAACCAAAGGACTGGACAGCTATTTTGAGTTTAATTTTACTTTGTTTTTGGTTTAATTTTACATGTAAATAATATTATTTTTAGTTAATTTATAATATGTCTAATTGATAAATTCTGTGTTTATTTGAAACATTATCTTAATTCAGAGAATCATTTAGTTACGCCTTCGTTAATTGAGTATTGGAGGGGATTTAAAACCTAGTTTCATAAAATCAGGTTATAAAAACTAATATTTCGTGCAATCTTCATGCAACAGAAGAAACATTAAAACACTCGTGCAACCAGAGCCTTCTGCCATTGGGAGTACACGTAAAAACAAAACTAGTGGTTCCTGATTTTTTAACTTTTAACTAATGTAAAATGAATGATGTTATATTTTCAATGAAGTGAGGTATCAGAAACTGCTGATATAAATTATTTATAACTAAAAGTTTTATGAAATATAGTTAGTCTGGCATTAATAATAAAGTTATTTACATGTTAAGCATCTTATCAAATTATGATAACATTAAAATATGAGTTTTGTTGTAAAAATGAAGTATCAACTTTATCGTAGATATGGAGTTTACAGAAAATGAGGAAAATACACAGTTAAAGTTAAGTAATTGATACAAATCATATATAGTTATTATATATATAGTTCTGAAACCATTTCGTTAAGGTTCAGTGTAACCGGTTTCTAGTTGGTCAAATACTTTTAAATATTTCTAAATTACAAGCTATGTATTAATATTAAAGTTAGCAATGCAAAATAAATTAACAGTAACAAATAAATAACGGTATAAAATGACAATTATGTTCCCTGCAAAAAATGTCTTTCAAACTAGAAAAAGTATGAAGAAACCACTTTTAAGATACTTTCGAAATAAAATTCCATAAGATGTTTTGTAAAGCTTTGAGCTCCGGTAGCAGTTTCCCACACGAATTTCTTTCAGCGAATCACCTGATCACAAGCCAGAAATAAGCTTCCGTAGAGCGTTTAAGATAAAGGATTGCAAAGAAAAGAGTGTAAGAAGACAGCGTTATTCTTTTTGGATCTAAATTTAGCGTTCTCTTTCTGAATGATTATTACTTTACACTTTCTTATCTTTAAAATACAAAGTAATCGTAGTTTTGGATCTAAATATAACTTCTTTCAAGAGCATCGTCTGATTTTGATTTCATATATAAGTGGTGTGATTCTTGAGCAACAGTAGCCCTTCTGTTGACTTTTTATTTTAAAAACAGTAGCACCACGCGTTAAGCATTCGATCATCACCTGTGCAACAAAAAATATTTCAAAAAAAGAAAAATATTTCATTTAAATTTGGCTCCAAAGATGCAAAGGAAATATTTTCCTCGAATTTTTTCATTGCAGTCTTATGTAATAGTTTAATTTAAAATTCTGACAGTATATTCTATTACAAACACAAAAAATATCTTTATTATTATTACGTCACAAAATCGAGGTAAAAAATACAGAATTAAAAATCGAATATAATGCATTTTGCTTCTTTCACGTTGCAATAGCATGATACGATCCTATTGGCCGATCTTCATCTCATGTCATGTGACGTCAGTTACGAATCTGCGTGAAGATGGTCATATAAGATGGCGCGCATTTAGCAATGTCTCGGCGATTAAAAGATTATAATTCGTGTTCCTTCGAAGCGGTTTTCTTTTCCTTGTTAAATTTAACACTGCGCTCTGTATATTTGAGTATCAGCGAAATACTTGTGTTAGTCTGACTATTTTATATGGAAGATAATTGCATTTAAAAGTAAATAATAACGTTTAAATTCTTTTTACTTGAAATTGTACAGATTTTATAATTATTTAAAGAACTAAATAATGCCCGATTTTATAGCAAATGGATATTCTGAAAATGGATTGCAGACTAAAGCTAAATTTCAAAGTTTTCAAGTGAGAAATATGGATGAATACAATAAACTATATAAGCTTTCTATAGAAAAACCTGAGGTGTTTTGGAGCAGTATAGCAAATGAATTCGCATGGAAAACGAAACCTAGTGGCGAATTTTATAGTTACAATTTCGATCCAAGAAAGAATTCTGTTGGTGTTAAATGGATGGAAAATGGTGAAACTAATATATGCTACAATGCTTTAGACGTAAATGTAAAGAATGGACTTGGAAACAAAATAGCATATTACTGGTAAGACTATAAGGTTCATTTATTTGTTTATTTAATTAATTTGTTTTTCTTCCAATTTACATTGCTTTTCAACGTAAGGTAGAAGAAAATTTGGCATTTAAGTAAACTGGATGAAACTAAAGGTGTCAAAATATGCAATTTTAAGTTTTTTTTTTTTTTTTTTTTTTTTTTTTTGAATTCAAGAAAGAAATTTTAATATCAACCATTTTATCATCAACTTGAACAAGGCGTTAAAATCTAAGGTGTGCTGTTGAATCAATAATCGAATCTTTGTTTCTGAAAAACAACATAGACTTTATTAAAACTAACAGGAATTATTGAAATTAGATAATTTTTTATGAGATCAAAATTTTCTTGTTTTTGTTTGTTGTATACTTTATTTCAGGAGCGTAAGAATAAGCCTTTTTAGAAAGTTTTCTGATTGTTCTCTTTAATCTTATTTAAATATATTCTAGTCGATTTTGATGCGATAATTTTCATCTAAAATGAAAATTAGATCATAAAATCAGGTACTTTATTACCATAAAAATTAATAGATATTTTAAGGTAATTTGGGTCATTTAGAGACAAAAGCTGGATAGAAAGTAAAACATTTTGCTTTATTATTATTATTAATTTTTTAGCAATATTCTTACTTTCAAAATTAATTTTAGACGTTAGAATTTTATTAGTAGTAGTAATAGTAGTAGTATTTTTATGTTAAAATTGTAAAAACATTTGATTATTGTCTAATCTTCCTCGCTCTGCGTCACCTTACTTTATGATACTAGATCTGTTCTAATTTTTTACGCGGCCTAGCAAGCCGCTAATTTTACGAACTGTTGCCACGCGGAATGAGATAATTAAGTTATTTTTCAAAATAGCATTGCATTCAAAAGTGCATTGCATAGATGCATTTTAACAACATTTTTAACATTTATAACATCAATATAATTAGTAAAAGACGCTACAGTTATGTACGTACGTTACAGAATTTTTTGTTTATTACCATATGTCCATAATAAAATTATCATTACATTTATTTAAAACAGGAGGTAAGCGGTTTACTGAAAAATTTTACAAGTAGTTATAAAATGAAATTTACAGCAACAGATAAAAAATTTTCTCCTTCAAGCCACGGTATTTGTTAAAATCAAGCAGGAAGGTGTTTTGCATGATCATGGACCTTATAAGAAATAGACTAACCCAAACGGGTTTTCTCCCTCGTCTGAGGCGTTGCCGGCTGTCACCTTGATCACTTCTGGAAGAGTAGGGACGACTTGCAGAAATTTAACATTGGTTGCCTATTGCAGCGTGTATAATTGTAGAGAAAAAGTTGTTTGTAGCGCCTCATTTCACAAATTAGAATGTCTACATATTTTTATTTTTGAACTGAGATTGATTGTTAAAAATTTAGCATATTTATCAAGCATAATTAACATTCCAAATAATTATAAAGCTATTGCATGCTTTCAGGACTGGATATTTTTTTGGCTTTTCCTATGCTGTTAGGAAATTTTTAACCACTTCTTTTAGAAAATAATATTTTAATTTTAATTTGAAAAACTAATAAAAAATTTCAAACAAGCAATTTTCTCTTGCAATTTTTTTATGCTTTTTTATTGGGTGTAAATAAGTAAAAATACTAAAACATTTAAAAACGAATTTTTGAAAGTTTTTGTTTAAAGTTCTAAATTGTGCTGCTTTTTTAAAATTATAGATGAGTATTATAGCACAATTTCTATAAAGGTATTTTATTTCAATTATATTTCATATTTCATTATATTTCACATCATAGTGGTAAACACTTTTGACTCCTTGGAAATGTTTATACATTTAATTCTAATATTGAAATTGTATTTAACCGTAATAATCAATTTTGCGGTTAAATACGATTTTGTTTGTATTTTATAGTGATTATTTTTTAAAATTTTTTTTTAGTTCAGCATAAGATTTTTTTTATTTACCGTTAATTTAATTTATTAGCCTAAAGGGGCGGTAGCCTAGAAAGGCTGTCAGTTTCGAAGCGGCATTTTGCGCTGTTTTATTATAAATGTCCGTGTCTCCTTGCCAATTGTTGTTACCATATATTATCGCCCTGTATTATATGTAAAGAAATTAAATAATGAAAAATCTGCATGAATGCATGAATGTTTCTCGCATTTTCAAAAACGACGGTATCTAGAGCCATCAAATTTTGAATAATGTAATCCTCCATCCGAACATGGGCATCTGGACGGCCGAATTTCGAATTTGTTTTAATCTATTTCATATTTTGTAAAACTTTAACGAATTTTTGATTAACAAACTCAACGAGTTCAGAGCGAGCACTGTACGGAAAATAACAGTTTTATCCCCAGTGCGGAAATTCTAAAGATATGCTGTTTTCAAATGTATGTGTTTTTGGTGGGTACGGGCGAAGAACATGATATTCAATAAATATAGGTAACACACAAAACTTTAAAAAAAGGTTCCTTTTGGGGGCGTAATATAAAATCTGAGTGCATCTAGATTTTATTTTATCTTTTTTTTCCTTCATTATGCTCAGAAAATTTTATGCTCCGAATTTTATGAATTATTAAAATAACTAATTATGAATTATTAAAATAACTTTTAATTAATAAAATAACTAATTTATTTTATTATATGCTCATTAATGTTATTAATGAGCATATAATAAAATAAATATGATCGCTTTGTAATGTTTTATTATAGTTGTTGGAAAATCACTGCCTGAAAATGTTCATTAATTTAAAAAAAAATATCAGATCTTGTTTAATTTTACCTTATTTATTTCAAAGCATCGCGTACTATCAATCTTATTTAATTTTACTTTATTTTTATGCAAAATTAAGTTCATAAATTTTTGTGCTTAGTTTTTAAGTTTAATTTTTTAACCGTTTTAACCAAAGTAAAGATGTTTGTGCAAGAATTAAGCATGAAAAAAATGCGCGAAATGCAGTAAAAAGTGGTTTAATGAGATATATTAAATCCTATTTGGAAAAAACTGTGGCTTCATAATCTCATCAGTATACAACGTATCACATTTAATAATTAAAAAGCGTTATGTGATACAAACGTCATAGGTTTCAGTGTTAAAGTAAACCAGATCGTCCCTACTCTTTCTTGCCGACATGTCGGTGACGCGCGCCCCGCCCACAGAGTTAGTCTACCTCCTACAAGGTCCATGTGCATGATACTGTGACGTCATTAACAGCGGCGAGAAATTTCCTTCGCGCTGCATGGCTTGCGGGTTTTTTGTCATCGTGTTTTTGCTCCAAGTAGCAGCACAGTTGTTTTTTCTCCATTTCGCATTTTATTATTTTTACCCTCTGTCCTTGAACTTTACTCGCTCGTTTTCTGCAATTACTTTATACTGCAATAATTGTTGACTGGTACAGTTCCTATTTAGCGTCTAGGCCGGGGGTGGGCAAATACTTTTAAGGGGGCTCCATACATCTTAAACCTCTTATGATCATCGAATATGTGACTGTTGCAAGAATTGGGATATTTTATTTATTTTAAAAGCAATTACTTGCACCTTTTTACAGCTGACTATATGACTAAAATATTTATATTATGTATGTGTTGACGTGTAAAGAATGATTAATACTTTAAGGAGGTGATAAGGTACCTTTAAAATAGCAAAATATCCCAAAATACAATACATTTTAATATCCCAAAATATAAGACGTTCCGTTTATTTACCCAAAATACAGTACGTTACGTTTAAAGCTCAGTATCTTTATAACTGGTTTAACAAGCGGGAAATTTTGTATATGTATTTCGACACTCTTAATAATATATTTGCTTCTTTTTTATATATTCACATATTGTAAATAAAGTACCTTTTTTGTCATCCACATAATACTGTAATATGTACTGCGCGTAGCATTATGTAAACATATTGGTATTTTTAACTGATATTTTTTAAGTAGAAAAATAATAGTAATTATTAAAATGTATCACGTTAAAAACAACAGAATTATATTTTCTTAAAAAGTAATATTTTATTTATTTATTTTATTTTCGCCGCTTCAAAATCAATTATTGTTTAATATAATTAAAGATAATTTCTAAAATTTTGGGCAAAAGGTATAGTAGTTTTTCGTTTTTTAACTTAGGTATTATGAAATTGGTCAAATGGTTTCAAAATTCTGACCAATGGTTTCGGAGAAATCGTGCACGCAAGCAAGAAAGTTGTAGTTAACATATATCTACCGTCAGAGCAAGAATAGACACTATTTAAGAAAAATCTTATCTATAAATTATAAGGCTGATTGATTGTTGCTGACAGACTGTGCAGAAATGTTGTCCATAAGTGGTAGAAAATTTAATGTTTCCCAAGCGATGATGTGCACAACTGCCGTGTGCGCAAATGTCACACCACCGTTTTCAAAAAGCGATAGGGGAAGGAAAACTACCCTCCCCTGTAAGGTTCTTTTTTTTAATTGATATCATAATTTAAAAAAAAAAAACTAAAAATACGCCGATTTCATTGGTCATCAAATGATTGACATAATATATATTGTATATTGTTTCGTTTTCGGATAAAAATTTAGAAGTGAAATGATTTAAGCACCTTTTCTGAGCAGTCTTTTTATCTCAACAATGTATGTCATTGTTTAATTTCATTCATATGCCATCGTTAATAATTGAATTTGCTAGAAATTATAGAGTTATATTCATGGGCGGATGCGCATGCTTTCATAGCATATCTAGAGTTCACAACTTAGGTCAATAGCTAGTACAATGATATGCGTACTATATGGCAATCAATTATTTCCAAACTTTATGTATAATATAATACAATATATATGCGCTCAAAAGGCGGGGAATTTATGATACTGAGCTTCCCAGACAATAGTGAAACTAGTTACAGCGACCATTGAGAGAACCTCGCGATCACGTGATTCACTATCATACACTCGCAAATAATCGTGAGAGCCAACTTCTTTGCCTACCCCCTAGGGTACGACATGGAGGTAGGAAGTAAGAAGGAGTCGCCCTAAACAAGTTTC